TGTATCCTTTGGCTACCAAGCGAGCTTTAAATCGATCAATCTTGCCATCTGGACCAACCTTCACTATATAAAGCCAACGACAACCTACTAAAGATTTTCCATGGGGTAGAGGAACCAGTTCCTAGGTACCACTGCTTTGAAGAGTACACATTTCATCAATCATTGCTTGCCTCCACTCAGGGTGAGATAATGCTTCACCTGGAGTTTTAGGAATAGAAATAGAAGACAAAGAAGACAAACAAGTATACTGCAAAGGGGAAAGACGATGATAACATAAATCAATATAATGTGGAGAAGGATTTCATGTTTGACGTATACCTTTTTGAAGGGCAATCAGAAGATTATACTCAGGTTGCAGGATCGAATCCGGTGATGGCGAGAGCGTCGGAGGAGAGTCCGTAGTGACCTCAGGGACAGGTACAACTTTAGGAACAGGTACGACTTCAGGGACAGATACAACTTCAGGTACAGGTACAACTTCAGGGATAGGTACAAAAGACTTTGGGTGACGACGCTGATATGTTTGAAGTGGGCGAGGAGTGAGGGGGGGGGGGGGGGGTCAACCGTAGGGGTAACTAGTGGGTCAGGTTCCCTAGAATGATGGGGGATAATGACAGATGAGACTTCTGAAAGAGGTGTGGGAATACTTTCCCGTAGAGGTTTTGTAGTTACTTGGCTGGATTCAAAATATGGAACAGACTCGAAGAAGGTAACATCGGCGGATACGAGGTATCATTGTAGAGTATGTGAGTAGCAACGATAACCTTTTTAGGATCGATGATAGCCAAGAAAGACCCACTTTAGTGATCGAGCTGATAGTTTATCAAGACCAGGGGAGAAATTGTGTACAAAACACGTTGACCCGAAGACTCGAGGAGGAATTGGATGGAGTGGAGAGTTTGGAAACAGGATTCAATGAGGGATTTTATTATTAAGGACAGATGATGGCATGAGATTTATGAGGTAACAAGCTGTGAGCACTGCATCTCCCCAAAACCGGAGAGGAACATTACCATGGAGAAGTAGTGTCCGAGTGGTTTCTACGAGGTGCCGATTTTTGCGTTCGGCTACCCCGTTTTGTTGGGGTGTATGAGGGCACGATGTTTGGTGCAAAATACCATTGGATGACATAAATGTTTAAAATTGTTGGGATAAATATTCACATGCATTGTCACTTCTTATGGTGCGAATAGATAAACCAAATTGGGTTCTTATTTCTCGATAAAATTGTTCAAAAATAGAAAATAATTCAGACCTATTCTTCATTAAAAATAGCCATGTGCAACGTGAAAAGTCATCAATAAAGGTTACAAAATACCTAGACTCAAAAGTAGACACCGTACGTGAGGGACCCCAAACATCGGAGTGAACTAAAGCAAAAGGGGACGCAACCCGTTTATTGACTCGATCGGAAAAGTTACTACGAGTATGTTTCCCTAACTGACAAGACTTACAATGTAAAGTGGATAATTTAGATAAACTAGGCACCGACTTTTGTAGCTTGGGAAGACCTGGATGACCTAACTGTGCATGTATAATGAGTGGAGAATCTGTGGTGGAGCATGTGGTAGATGACGTAGAGAAGTAATAGAGGCCTTGAGACTCACATCCGACGCCAATCGTTTGTCCCAAACTCCGATCATGCAGAGTAACATTACTGTTAGTAAAGGTGATAGAACAATTAAGGGAACGAGTTAAACGACTGACTGACAGTAAATTAAATGGGCAATTAGGTACATAAAGGACAGAAGTAACAGAGAGAGATGGTAAAATTTGAACAGTACCAATCCCTTGGGATCGGGTTTGAGAACCATTTGCGGCAGTTATAATAGGCAAGAAACCAGAGGTAGAGAGGGAAGAAAAAAGACCTTTATTACCAGTAACATGATCAGACGCACCAGAATCAAGGACCCAAGGACCAAGAGGAGATAATTGAGAGAAGCAAATAGATGAATTACCAGTGTGTGCAACCGAAGTAGTGGAACCAGAGATCTGATTAGTTTGACACCATATGAGAAAATCTTCGTAGCTTGGCGTAGGGTTCTGAATAGAAGGTGAAGTCTGCATAGTTTCTGAGTTATCACTTTGAGCTGCATTTACCTGGCGTGGGGGTTTGCCATGTAGCTTCCAACAACAGTCGATAGTATGTCCAAGCCGGTTACAATGGTTACACTTGGGACGAGGTTTGGAGTTGGATGACCCTCCTCGAGGGCGACTCTGATTGTTGCCAAAAGATGCGAGGGAACAATGTCACCTGGTGTAGCAACAGTAGATGGAGGGGAAACCGGACCAAATGCATGAGGTGTAGCCAAGCGCAGCAGTTGTTCACTAACTGCATCATAGTTAGGAACAGTAGTACCTGATAAAATCTGGTTACGAACGAAGTCGAATTTGAATGGTAGTCCTTTAAGTGCCATCGCCATGAAAAATTTACTCTGTTGTTTGGCATGAGCTGTTGCGTCTTTTGCGTGCGGCATGATGGTTGCGTAACTTGCTTTGAAGGCATCAAGCTTACTTAGATAGGTTTGCATATCCATATTTTCCATCTTTAGTGTGTCGAGTTTGAGGATGACACTGTATAGACAATGAACGTCGTTGGAGAAGACTTTCTTGGCCTTTTCCCAAACTTCATAGCAAGTGGAGAAGGCTTGATACTGTGCTTGGAGGTTAGGTGCTATGGAGAACCATAACACGGTAAGGAGAGAGGCATCTGTTTTCTTCCATTTAGCAAGTTTGTCGGAGGCAACATTAGTCAATTGTGTGGTTAGGTGATCTTCAAATCCCTGACCACGAAACCACATATCGACAGCACGAGCCCATATGTTATAGTTTGCTGATCCGGTCAGTTTTTCACATGGGATAAGAGGAACTTTAGTAAACGGGACAAAATCAGCGTCTCCTATAGCTTAATGACACAAAAAAAACAAAGTGAAATCGGGGCTGTTTGCACTGGAGCACCGTTTTCCGTGAGTCGGAAAGTAAAACAGAGGCCGGATCTGGAATGGGTGAGGAGAGGTGAGTAGATCGGCAGAAAAACGGTTGGAATCAGCCGCCGATCGCGCTGGGGCAGCAGCGGGAAAAAGGGCGACGACCGGATCGGAGGACAGCGACAAAATCGGTTTTTCGAAACGTCGTCGGAAGTTTTTCCATAACTGTAACGGCGGCAAGACGGTTACGGGAGAATTTTGAAAAGTGAGAGGCAAACCGGAGTGACAACACGGTTTGCCAAAAAAAAAATTTCTCACCGGAAGACAGTAGGTCAACCGGATAAAATACGACGAAGAAAGAATTGTCTCTTAATAGGCTCTAGATATCATGTTAAAATACAAGAGATTAAGAGACATGAATAAACCGTGTGTTTTGAAAAGCACTACATGGACATTATTATATATAAATAGATTACAACTAATTATATAATATAGTCGATGTGAGACTATTCTATATACAAATATTCTTACCACTATATATATATTTACAAATATCAACAGACATCATTAACTTTAATTTAGATAAAATACTCAATAAATATCATTTTAACAATATTTTAACACTGTTATCTAAAAATTAAATATTTTCTAAGTTATTTTAAATTCTCTAAAAACATTACATTTTCTTAAAATGCTAAATTCAAACAAACTCTTAAAATTTTCTACAACCTCAAAGTTCAACCAGAAATAAGGTATTTTTAAAAAAATACTTTTATTAATTATTTTCTCAAAATTCACATTCACATATGATTTGAATAAGACAATTTTCATTGGACAGATGAAATAAGTAGCAAATGTAAAATTAAGAATAGTAAAGCCAAAATTTAATAAATTTAATACTACTAGCTTCCTAATTACCCGGGTGAAAAGTGAAGGGGCACATGACTTAGTTTGCTCCATAAATTTGGTTAGATATAATTGTTATGATATGTCATTGTTAACTCAGTCACAAGGAGACAAACTCCTCTTTTTGGTCCGATGTCTCCAATGCCAAACGGTTCGAACACTCAAGATTCAAGTCTTTCAATTTTCTCAATTAATTCACTCTCATAATGATATTTACACATATAAATAATTATTGAACAAAACAACAAAATATTTAGAAAGTCGAACGGTAAACAAACTCATATTAAAGAACAAAAATTTCAAAAAATATCAAACTCAATTTTTAATAGATACAGTGTTTGACCCGACAACATATCTCTGAACCCAAATTCTGAATTACTAAGATCTATTTTTCTGAATTACTTTATATTGATTTTGATGAAGCCTAATTCTTCACCTAATAGATTCAAGAAATATATATTTCTAAAGCCAAATTCTGAATTACTAAGACCTATTTCTCTTAAAAACTAAAGGCAAAATTATAAATTCTTCGTTAACCTAAAAATATATAATCTTTTTGAATCAATTTTTTTCTTCCAAACATAACCCAGCCACATTAACCATATTTTATCAATTTTACAATTTAAAATTACATGCAAAATATTTAATTCAATATTTTATATTTATGAAAACTATAAATAGAACAATACAAATTCCTAATAAAACCAAATTTTTTTCTTCATTTATACAGTTTTCTCTTTTACTTTTACTGATAATTATTGCTTTTTCTAAATCCGCGGAAGATTACAATCTGAGAATGCAAACAGTGTTGAATTGAAGTTGTGAAGTCCCTACAAAGCCATTAATGCTTTTTTTCAATTCAATTGAATTGAATTCAAGCTCGTGAAGACTATAAATTCTATAAAGTTTACATTTTTATAGTCCCACGACAACTCATAGCTCTTTTTGGTTCTTTTGAAGAATCTCATTCCAATTGCTGTTCATCTGCTAAGGTAAAACACCCTTTGAGTTTTTTCCCCCAATTTTTGTGGAAAGTTTCGTTTTTTGGGTTGTTTTTGACTTTATTTTGTAATTTGAGTGTTAAAGTTGTGTTTTTTACTTGTTTTTTCATATGGGTGTTTTGTTTTTGTTTTGAAAAGGAAAAGGTGGTTTTGGGAATCTAGAAAAATGGGTTTGATTTCTGGGATTTTTATGGGGATGTTATTCGGCATAGCATTGATGGCTGGATGGGCTCGTATGATGAGATACAGAAGTGCCAAGAGAATTGCTAAGGTATGGATTATGGTTTTGTTGACTTTGGTTTTGCTTATGAATTTTTGGAATTTAGTGTGGATTTTCTCTGTGGTAGTAGTAGTTGATGAATAATTGGGATGTCGCGCGTTCGAATCTGCGTCCCTGCACCCGATGTTCGTATACAGCTACCAAATGAGTTGTATTAACGGGACTGTAATTAGTGTGTTTTGGTTAAACATTATAATAGAAATATGATGGATCAAAACAAGGTTGTGTGAGAAGAGAATTGAGTATGCTTTTGTTAAGTAAAATTGGTTTTAGATAAAGGACTTTAGGAGATTGTTCGTCGATTAGTTGCCGTGCTTCAGTAAAATCCATATAAGCAAAACCTTTGATTTTGAGCTACTTTATTGTTGTAGTAAAATGCTTGTTATGTAGAACTGATGATGTATTTCGGATCTTGGATTTGAAGTTTAGTAGGGGTGTTTGTGGATTGGATTGATTTGAGAGGGAAAATCGTTCGGTCTGATCCATTTGGTTTTGTTATTTGATCATCCAATCAGTTCGATTTTCAAATCAAATTTGATCCGAACTAATTTATTTAAATAGCAAAAGAGAAAATAATGTCAAGATGTTTTCATATAAGCTATCTTGGAGAGCTTATAGACATGTCATAAGCTATTTTCATAAGTTCTCCCAAACAGTTTTACAAGTGTTTATGCCAATAGATAAACTCAAGTAAGTCAACCAAACACACCCTAATTAAGATAACAAATTGATTCGTGATTCGTCTTCTTAGCCGATCAATATTTTTCTATTAAAATAAACATCCTGTTTTAATTTGTCAGCAAGTTTTTCTTCTTGTTTTAACATTTGTAATTCTTTTACTTTGCAGGCCGTTGACATCAAACTCCTTGGATCCCTCAGCAGAGATGATTTGAAGAAAATTTGCGGTGAAAATCTTCCCGAATGGATATCTTTCCCTGTATACGAGCAGGTGAGAATTTATTTCTATATATTACCTGCCACTTGAAATTATTTGATGCAGCACACCTTTCAGTTGTGTAATTCTGTTGTTCTTGACTCTTTGTTACATTCGCTTTTTTCAGGTGAAATGGCTAAACAAGCTCCTGAGCAAACTCTGGCCATTTGTGGCGGAAGTGAGTATTTCATCTATCACGTGTTTATCTGATTAGTTCTCTAGCAATTGAAATACATAAATATGCATTTTCTCATAATATCGTCAAAGTAATTAATTGTTCATCTTTCAAGAATATCTTTCTATCTATCATATTCATTGGTATGAGTGTAATGGTTTGGTATACTTTAAATTTCACCGTATTTTGCGGCTTAAAGAATCATACTCGTAATAGTTGGTTTGTTTAAATAGATGACTTTGTCGTAATGGCTTTTGTTCACCATTAGGCCGCAACGTTGGTTATCAGAGAGTCTGTTGAACCTCTACTGGAAGAGTACAGACCTCCCGGAATTACTTCGTTGAAGTTCAGCAAGTTGTCACTTGGAAACGTAGCTCCAAAAGTTGAAGGTAATATCACCAACATTCTTAATTCTCACAATTTAGTCAAATGAAGTTCCAAATCTTTTCGTATGCTAACAACTTATACGTGCATAATTTCATCATTCATGCAGGTATTCGCGTGCAAAGTCTTACCAAAGGTCAAATCATAATGGACATAGATTTCCGTTGGGGTGGTGATCCGAGTATTATTTTGGCCGTTGAAGCTGCCCTTGTTGCATCAATCCCTATTCAGGTATAACGCTTGGGAGAATATTTTTCTGTTGTCCATTTTAGATGTTTTCAAAATTTGATTTGATTTGATTTTTGATTCAGTTGAAGGATCTAAAAGTTTTCACCATCATTCGTGTTATATTCCAACTTGCTGAAGAGGTCCCTTGCATTTCTGCCGTTGTTGTTGCTCTATTGGCCGAGGTAATTGTTGAGGGACGTGGAAGGAAATAATAATATTTGTTTGTATGTGCACGCATGAAAGTATATAGTAATAGGCTTTCTAGCACCGACATTTCAAACTGAAGGCGTGTGTCGTCCGACACATGTGAATGTCCAACTGTGACACGTGGGCATTGACACGACACTGACACATTTGGTTTCATATAATTTCATTTTCCTAAATTCTTAATGTTGTCTTCATGTTAACTGGTTAATATTTCGCTTTCGGAGTTGCTGATTTTTCCATTAAAATTGAATCAGCCGGAGCCAAAAATTGATTATACTCTGAAAGCTGTTGGTGGAAGCTTAACTGCTCTTCCTGGAGTTTCAGATATGATTGAGGTGAGTTCTGTCTGTTTTACGTTGCTCTTTTCCCTATACTTTTTAATCAACATTTATAACTCTAGTTTTATTTTTACTCGCCATTTTGCAGGATACTGTGAACGCAATTGTTAATGATACGCTCAAATGGCCACATAGGATTGTTGTTCCACTCGGCGGTATCCCTGTTGATATCAGGTAAATATGAATCTTACGAAATTTTATGCATTTTTTACGATATCTCATTAACAAAACTTCAGTTTGAGTATCACTTTTTTTTTTCTTTCTTGCAGTGAACTCGAGCTTAAACCTCAAGGAAGACTTGAAGTGACTGTAGTGAAAGCGACCGATTTAAAGAATAAGGAAATGATTGGAAAATCAGATCCTTACGTAGTTTTGTATATTCGACCCTTATTCAAAGTTAAAACCAAGGTTATTAATAACAACTTGAATCCCGTTTGGGATCAAACATTTGAACTGATTGCAGAAGACAAGGAGACTCAGTCACTGATTTTCGAGGTTTTGTGCCGCTCTCTTGTTTATTTGCTCCGGTTAATTTAATACGACATACGTAAACAGCGTTCATGACTCTCCGAACAGGTTTTTGATGAAGACATTGGACAAGATAAGCGATTGGGAATTGTGAAATTACCGCTTATTGATCTGGAAGTACAAACCGAAAAGGAGTTTCAATTGGGACTGCTGTCATCGCTCGATACGCTCAAGGTTAAAGACAAGAAAGATCGAGGAACCTTGACCGTAAAGGTACATGCATTGATCTAGTTATATTTAACCGCGATGTTACGATGTTACTATGACCCATTCTGCTTGATAAAAAAACGAGGTTGAAATGGAATTTCAGGTGTTGTATTACCAGTTTAACAAGGAGGAACAGTTGGCTGCACTAGAAGCAGAAAAGGCTATATTAGAAGAAAGGAAGAAAATGAAAGCGGCGGGGGTTATCGGTAGCACAATGGATGCGCTGGACGGAGCAGTCTCAGTGGTGGGATCTGGTGCTGGACTCGTTGGAAGTGGCCTTGGCGCGGGAGCTGGACTTGTCACGAGTGGTCTCGGAACGTTCACTAGTGGTCTTACCAAGGCAGGAAAGTTTATGGGAAGAACCATAACAGGTCATCATAGCGGGTCGAGAAGGAGTGGTTCGTCTACTCCGGTTCATAATGCAGCGGAAAATGGCGGCGGTGCAAAGCCTCTATAGTTGTTGTTTGTATATTGTAAAATAATGAAGTGAATGGAAGTTGCAGACTCATGTTTAATCTAGTACAGTTGTATTGTATTGTGTCACCTTTATTTGTATATTATGTTCTACTATGATGTATAACATTAACATATTTGAACAGTTTTTGTTTTTGCAAATCATTATAAACATTCCTCCATGAATTTGAAAGTTAATATTAACTTTTTCAGTTTCTTTCTTATGATAAGGTATCAGAGCATTCTCAACAATCCTCAAGACCCTTCTCATGATGCTGCATCTTCATTCTTTCAATTTTCTTTTTAATATGTATTGCATCTTCATTCTTATTGTTATTAATTTTAGTGTTTGAGATGGTAACACAGTGGTGTGATTATATTTGCACTATATTTGCATTATACTGTTAAATGAAATTTGTTAATTTAAGGGGAGTAATCGATTAACAAGGGATGTAGGTTACAGTAAATCAAATATCACTTATGAGCCGAAGAAATTAGACATGCATCGTGAATGTAACCGATTAATGTAACTACGTAATTGGTTACTACTGAAAGAAAATTATTTTTGTAACAGCTGTAATCGGTTATAGGTTTAGTGTAACTGTTACAGGTTCGAGTGTTTAGTTTTTTCAGTTATGTAATTGTGTGACTTATGTCTCAGTCATTAACATTGGAGGCATCCTCATCAATGTTAATGCAAATTGACTTCTCACTCTCAATTCTCTCTCTCTCTCTCTCTCTCTCTCTCTCTCTCTCTCTCTCTCTCTCTCTCTCTCTCTCTCTCTCTCTCTCTCTCTCTCTCTCTCTCTCTCTCTCTCTCTCTCTCTCTCTCTCCTTCTTCATACTTTAATTTTTCTTCATTATTCATCAATCTCGTGGTTTCAAGTTCCAGCATTTGGCATCAAGAGCCTGATTCTGATCCACAAACACCTAGTGTGCAAACATGAATTTTGTCTCTAATGAAAGAACCCATGCAAACCTACCAATCCTTTATGCGAAGAACTACGACAAATGGTGCAAACAAATGAAGGTGTTGTTTGGCTACCAAAATATTCATTAAGTGATCAAGAACGAGGTGATTCCTCTTGTTGAAGGTGCAACAGATGCACGACAAGCAACACATAAGGAAGATAAGAAGAAAGATTTCAAGAGATTATTTTTTATACATCAATGTATGGATGGCGACAACTTTGAGAAAGTTAATGATTTCGAATCGTTAAAGCAAGCGTGAGAAATTTTATAAAAGGCATACACAAGGGTTGACAAGGCGAAGGTGGCGAGGTTATAAACCCACAAGTGTCAACTTGAATTGATTCAAATGGAAGAAAAAGAGATGATTAACGATTTTATAACGAGAATCACTCGGTTGGTGAATCAAGTGAAGACATGTGGAGAAACAGTCACAAAGCAGTATGTTTTCGTGAAAATATTATGTTCTTTAACACATAAATTTGACAACGTGGTTGTAGTGATTGAGGAATCGAAGGATCTTGGGACGATGAATAAAGAGGAGCTGCAAAGCTCTCTTGAGGCTCATGATCAAAGGATGGAGGAGAGAAATAATGATAAGGCAAATGCGGAGATCGCTTTGCAAGCTCACTTCAACGAGAAGTACAAGAGATCGAAAGGACAATGACCCATGAAGAGTAAAGGGAATTTTCGGTGGAAGAGAGGTCCAAAATTTCAATAATTTGACTTGTCAAAGGGGTGGGAGCACCTGGAACATAAATGACGGTCAAGGCAACTTTAGAGGTGAAAATAAGAGGTTTGACAAAAGCGAGGAGCAACACTTTAAGTGTCAAAGGTTTGATCATTTTGTAAGAGAGTGCAATGCGAACAAGAAGGAACCTCAAAGAGATGAAACCAAGGTTACAAGATAAGAGTTTGATGAAGAGAATACACTCTTTGTCATGATCACAGAAGGAAAATGCAATAGCAGCAGGCTGTGGGACAACAATAACAACAATTATGGGAATGCTAAAATAGGCTGTAACGATTACATGCAGAAGGAAATTTCATGACGATTGTGAGAGAAGGATCCCAATGCAGCGAGAAATGGTATTTGAACTCGGGATATTCTACTCATATGATGAGTAGGAAAGATTGGTTTGTTAAAATCAATTGTGCCATGAAGAACAAAGTGAAGTTTGCGGATGACACCAATCTAGCGGTCGATGGGATCAGTGATATTTTGATCATGAGAAGGGATGGTGAACATTCCTTGATCAAATATATATTTTACATTCTAGGAATCAAATGTAACCTTCTAAGTATTGGGCAATTGATTGAGAAGGGTTACAAGATTCACATGAAAAATAAGGGGTTACATGTTATGGATGCAAATGGGGTTTTAGTCCTTAAAGCTCATATAGATGATAATAGAACCTTCAAGGTTGAGCTGAAGGTTATGTATCATTGATGTGTTTCTACAACGGCAATTCGATAATAGTGGATATGGCACTATTGTATTAGGTATCTCAACTTCTGAGATCTCAAAGACTTGCAAAAGAATGGAATGGCAATATGGCTACCAATAGAATCTTCAAGGTTGAGCTGGAGGTTATGGATCATAGAAGTGTTGCTACAACGATAATTCAAGAATAATGGATATGACACTATTGTCTTGGGCATCCAACTTCTGAGATCTCAAAGACTTGCAAAACAATGGAATGGCAACTGGGATTGCCATTGATCAACATATCGGCTAAAATTTGTGAAAAATGTGTGCAAGCAAAGTAACATAAGGGTAAATTCAGCAAGGATGTAGGTTGTATAACATAGAATCACCTTGAGATGATATATTTAGATGTGTGTGGACCGATGCAAGTAGATTACATTGGTGGAAATATATATATTTTGTCATATTCATCGACGATCATAGTAGAAAGCTATGGACATACCTAATCAAAAGAAAGGATGAGGTATTCGAAGTGTTTAAGAAGTTCAAGTCCATGGTTGAGAGGCAAAGTGGTCACAAGCTCAAAGTGCTCAAAACAGATGGTGGAGGCGAATATGTCTCAAAAGGCTTTGCGAGGTTTTGTGATCAAGAAGAGATTGTACATGAGGTTGTACCACCTTATACACCCAACTAAATGGTATTACCTAAAGGAAGAATCAACCGATCATGAACATGGTAATAAGCATGTTAGAGGGGAAGAACTTACCGAAAAATTTATAGAGAGAAGCGGTATCCACAACTTCCTATTTTTTGAATAGGTGTTCAACAAAGAAGCTTGAGAAGGTAAAAACTAGAGAAAGCATGGTCAAAATTCAAATTGAATCCGAACCATTTGAGATTTGTTGGTTTCGTAGCGTATTGACATGTTCCAGGGCAACTTAGAAAGAAGTTGGATGATAAGGAAGAAATGATGATGCTCGTAAGGTATCACTCTATTGATGGTTACAAATTGTTTGATGCAACAAATAGAAGGGTTGTGATCAATTGGGATGTCATTATCAACGGAATCAAGGAGTTGTAGCAGTCTGTAACTGGTTACATAAAAGCTGTAACTAGTTACATCTTTAGAAATTCGGATTCTACAGATACGAGAAGTGTTGAAACACCCGTTGTCGAAGCCTGAATTTAAGAGAATGTGAGAAGACCAACAAGGCAAAGAGGTATTCCTTAAAGACTCCAAGATTGTGAGCTGTTCTGAGACAACGAAGTCAATGATGATGGTAATTTTGTCCATTTTGCACTTCTGGACGAATCTGAACTGGTTAAAATGAAATAGGCTTTAAGTAATCCAAATTGGTTTTGTGCTATAAAGGAAGAGTTGGAATTTATTCAAACAGGCTATCAGTTGGTTGATCTACTGAATGAGAAGAAGCCAATTGGTGTGATATACGCATTCAAAGTGAAGGAAAATTCCAAGCGTGAAATAATAAAGCATAAGACTCGATTAGTTGCAAAAGGATTCTTTCAAAGAGAAGGCATGGATTTTGAAGAAGAATTCATACCGATTGCTAGTGTTTAAACCATAAGTCTAGTTACTGGTATTTGGAATAACAACAATTGGCTCGTCTACTAAATTGACGTTAAATATGTGTTTTGAACGGACCACTTGAAAAAGAAATGTATGTAGAACAACCCCCTGATTTTGTTGTGAGAAACCAAGAGTTAAAGTTATACAAGTTGAAGAAAGCATTATATGGTTTAAAGAAAGCTTAAAGAGCTTGGAACAAAATAATAGATGGTTTCCTAAAGAAGGTTGGCTTCAAGAAATGTGTATCCGAGCATGGCGTGTATGTGAAGACGAATACAAATGAATGAGTGATTATCTATTGTCTATATGTAGACGACTTGTTGATAGCAGGCAGCAGCAGAAAGTGCATTTCTAAGTGACTTATGTAATCATGTGACTTGTGTCCCAATCATTTTTATATTGTTTGTATGAATGCCTTGGAGGCATCTTCATCAATGTTAATGCAAATTTCCTTCTTACCCAACTCTCTCTCTCTCTCTCTCTCTCTCTCTCTCTCTCTCTCTCTCTCTCTCTCTCTCTCTCTCTCTCTCTCTCTCTCTCTCTCTCTCTCTCTCTCTCTCTCTCTCTCTCTCTCTCTCTCTCTCTCTCTCTCTTAATTCCTATTTCCCTCTCAACGCTCTAATTTTTATCCATTATTCATCAATCTTGTGGTTTCAAGTTCCAACATATACAACATAGCGAAAGAGAAGAATAAGAGCAAGAAGAACAAGAAGAATTTCATTAAATTTAAGGAGGTTTGTAACCTTCGCAATCTCACATATTTTTGTAGTCAAATAAGATGTTGACTTTAAGTGACGTTACGTGCAACGTGGCGTGCCATGTCAGCTTCTGTTAGAGGAAGTAGACGATAAAGACCAAAAGTGGGGACGATAAATATTAGAAGGACGATCCTTTGAATTTTTTTTTGAGAGACTAAAAGTGAAATAGTCAATATTTAGAGGTAATAAAAAATATATTTAACCCTTAATTATATGATTAATAAATTAACTTTCATTTGATTTTTATAGGAGCGTTTTGC